AAGCAAGAAGAAGAGGAAGGAGAAGAAGAAGAAGAAGAAGAGCCAACAAGTTGATCTTGGAGCTGATTATGATGGTGATGGTGATGATGGCTGTTTGCAGATTCCATAATGAGGTGATAATTTTCTTTTCTTTTTATTTTAAAACAACTTGAAAATCCCAAGATTAATATTTTTTTAAGGATTTGATTTGATTACAGCCAACAAAGCTTAAAGAGAGAGAATCTCTCTCTCTCTCTCTTTTCTCTCTCTCTTTCTTCTCTCTCTCAAAAAAAAAATACAGTAGCTCAGGTGACAGCCATATTAATTAGCTCCTCCAATTTGCTTTTGAGCCAACCTTTTGATATAAGTATATATATATATATATATATATATATATATATATATATATATATATATATATATATATATATATATATATATATATATATATATATATATATATATATATATATATATATATATATATATCTCTCTATATGGTGTATAGAGAGACATATCTCTCTCTCAGAGACTGTGTGATATACAGAGAAACGCGCGCTCTCTCTATATATATATATATATATATATATATATATATATATATATATATATATATATATATATATATATATATATATATATATTATATTTATATACCCACTTGTTGAGATTCTTCTTTCCACAGATACTTGTATTATTTTAGCTTTTGTAAAGTCATTTTGATACTTGTCCTCTCTATATATGTATTATTCTAGCTTTTGTATATATATATATATATATATATATATATATATATATATATATATATATATATATGTTATATTTTCTTTTTCGTTCTTTCCTCCCCGACATGAATATAAAATTTTAAAGAAGCGAAGTACAAACTACAGTGTTGTTATAATGTTAATTGAATCCGAAGTTATTATGAGAGAGGGATGAGTTAAATAAAATTTATATTTATATTAAAGCTGAAAACTTAAAAAGAATCCTCAAATTAAAGCACACCGCTGCGAAATCTCCATACATGCATCTCTCTCTCTTTCTCTCTCGTGCTCGTGCCACAGCGCGGTGCGAAACAGCAGCTCGCCTGATAAATGATAATCATGATCTAATATTAATTATTACATTTGCATCTCGTGGGATTTGGTCTCATCTGTTCTTGAATATGGCTGCAATTTGTATTGTTTTAATTTAATTAAATAAAATATAATATAATATTATGATGGGACATGACATGACATGACATGACAATACATGCCGCATGTCAAAACAAGTTTATTGACTGATGAAACCGGGCCAGCTTTGTTGCTTAATTCAGACACCATGATCATCTTTTTGTTTTGTAATTTTGCGTTTGAGATAATTATGATAAATAAAATTGTAAATAGATGAGCATGCAAAATATATATAAATATATATATATATATATCCAAGAATCAACGCAGTATATATGTGCTTAACTTATATATAACATTGTTACATATCTTAATTTGTTAGTATTAATTTAATAATTATAATATTGTAACATGCTATATATATGTATAACCTTCTTCCAACTAGCCTAAGCTACAAATATTAAAATTTTATGTATATGATCTTTATTGCATATTCTTGAAAACTCAGTTTTAGGAGGGTCATGACATGACACTTTAATTTCAAACAAGTTTGTTGTAACATTAAGATGGTGTTTCCCTAAGCTTATAGGATGCTAATTAATAGAAACTTGTAAGATGTTTAAGAGCTTATTATAATTAAAAAAAAAAAAAAAACTCATTTATGATAGACAATATTGTAATTAATTCAACAATGAATATCATAAGACGTAGATTGCGCAAGCAACCGGATGAACAATGAATGTTGAATACGGTGCTCAAGTGTCGAGCGTGCTCGATCGCATCTGGAATAGCGGCGCGAGCGCCTACAACTGAAAACTTCCAAAATTTTGGGATT